AGGTAGTTACCCTTCTAAGTCATTTTCCCTTTGAGTTACCGGTTAAAACAGATATTAGCCGGTAATATTTGTGTAATTTAAACAGTTAAAACAAGTTAGTTGCTTTCTTATGTACAAAAAACAAGAAGTTTCCAATATGTGAACACGGATAAGAGGTAGTTACCCTCCTAAGTCATTTTCCCTAAAACATTTACCAAACAAGTTGTTTTCCCACCTTTACCCAATTGCCTATAACTACTAGAAAATTCCTGTCTTTTTTATTTTTTATTTTTTTATTGAAAACTACGAGTATCATAAAGCGAAATTAAACCCCCCAGATCTTTCGGATGCATTTACAATTTCACAACTAAAATGATTACCATTATATGTTTGTAAACACGGGATACCTAGATTTTCGAATTGTGATCTTGAAGAACCATGAATTGTATGTTGTACTTCCTTTTCAGATTGAAAATCCACTCCACCTTGATTTGAATTCTTAATTCTTTTGTGTTCAATGAGAATAAATTTATTTGTGACTAGGTAGCACCTTATCCCCAAAATATCTTACCTAATCAGTTCTTCGCAAATATGTAATTGAAAACCAACTTTATCACCAACTTATAAAGTTTCAAGGATCTCTATTACTTAATCGAATTTATAAATACTAAATTATCAGCCGAGGATCCATTGTTTTGATTAAAATTTATGGAAGTAGTAGAAGGGCTGAAGGGGGTTTTCCATAGGAGAGTTAATTTGGGTAACCAATTGATCGGTAAAAAATTACAATAAAAATGTAGGTTCAGACTGTTTGTAAGCAGAAAAATCTTTATTTTTTGTTTTTACCTAAAAAATTTCCTGACTAATATTTGATGATTGCCCATAACTATTGACATAGCATGATATTCTTCTTTTCTATCTAATGTGTACAAGATAATGAAGTATTTTTCGGGTAGATTGAAACCTAAGGCGGTTGCAGGTGATTTTGGGAGGAGACGGTGAAAACATGATTGTTTTATTCAAGGCGTAACCGGATTATATGTTTGCTTTTACAATAAGAATGTTTTTAACCCATAAAAATTGAGTTTAAGACCTAAACTAAAGAAAAAACATAAGAGAATTTTTAAAACTAACACAAAAAAGTTATAAAGATAAAATGATATTCCCCCCTATTCTTTACTATGGATTCTAAGCAAACGAAAGTAATAAATTCTTTTAGTTATACCAATAAAAAATAAAATTTGGGGAAAGACACATGAGGATTGTGTAGTGAGGACGAATAGAAAGCCTTGTCCTATACGACAAACAAGGTCCCACCGAGTACACTTTAATATTTTAAAGTTTAAACCGCTACAATCCTCTTATTGCGGAATTGACTAATTTTTCTCACATATGAGTCAAGTCACTGAATTAGATTTTGTGCCTTTCTTTTAAACACACATTACACTTTTTCTTTAATTTATAATAAAGAAAAGAAAAAGAAAACAACATTTTTCCCGTTTTAACTCTTGTTCCAATCCCAAACAAACAGAACCCTAAATAAACCCCACTCATATGGCCTTTGCATATTGCATCCTTCATTTGCATGTTATTCCTTCTCTTTCTCTCACAAGAAGAAACACAAATATCAATTATCAATGGCAGTTGAAGCTCCACATCTGACCCTCAACCCTTCTCAATTTCTTCCAAACAGGTCTTCTATTTTTGCACTTCATCTTCATCTATCATTTACATTCAGTTCATTCATCTTTAATATTCATCCAACTTTAATTTGTGATTACAGGGACATGATTGATCATCAACCCAACGCAGTAACATATGGAATTGCTCCGCTTGCCATGATTCCGATGTATGGTGCCGGAATGACGGATTCCTTTCCCACGCCTGCTTTCAAGGCAGACAGCGGACTTACCTCCAGCCTTCCAAGGAAACGACCACGCCATGATGCTCACGTTTCTTCTTTTACTCCACCCTTCTCCCTTCCAAACGCTCCGATTGTTAATGAAAACGAACATGGCACATTCGCGTTTTTCGGTGAAGATATCGCATCGCACATCTATCAACAGCAATTAGAGATTGATCGCTTCGTTTCTCATCATGTAAGAACCAATAATTCTATTTCAGTTTCATACATATGATTCGTACAGTCTCTCGTATACTGATATTTTTTTTTTCAAATTGCAGACTGAGAAGGTGAGGACGGAGATCCAGGAGATGCGAAAGAGAAACTCGAGGAGATTAATAGCAGCAGCCCAGGAAGGGATAATGAAGAGACTGAAAGCGAAAGAAGATGAAATCGTGAAGATCGGACAAATGAATTGGTCTTTAGAAGAAAAAGTGAAATCTCTAAACGTAGAAAATCAAAAATGGAGAGAGTTAGCTGAAACCAACGAGGCAACAGCCAACGCCCTACGAAACAATCTCCAACAAGTCCAAGAACAGCTTCAGCTACAACAGCATTACAGTCTCGATTTCAATAACAATTGTGCCTCAATCGATGACGCTCAATCACACTGCGGAAGCAACAATGAACTAGATCGTATGTTAGCGGAGGAAAGCGGAGGAGAGAGAAAGAATAGGAGCAGGTACGGCGGAATGAACAGGCGATGCCGAAATTGTGGGAAGGAAGAGTCATGCGTGTTGCTGCTTCCTTGCAGGCATCTGTGCATGTGTACCATCTGTGCCTCTAGTATCAGCATTTGCCCCGTCTGTAAATCAAAAAAATCTGCCGGTGTTCATGTGAACATGAATTAATTGTGAATAAATCTTCTTTTCATGATTCTGAAGAATCAAATTGTTTATTTAATTTCCAGTATTGGTTGCCAGATAGCGACACTGATTCCCAGTATTAGTTACTAGATTGGAACACGATAGTGGTTAAAAAAAGTAAAGGGTCACGAGGGATTGAAGCGGTGTTCACGGCTTTATATTTAATGAAGAGAAAGAGGGTGAAATCAAAGGGCCAAACCCCTGCAAAATTGCAAAGTGTCCAATGTGGATAGCGTATTTTGAGGGGCATAATTGCGTATCTTACATCAAGTCTAAACTGTCGGTCTCTTTAGTAGGAGTGCAAAAAAGATAAGAGGGGGAACAGACCACGATGATAGTGTGGGTGTGTGCACGTTAATTAAGTGGGGGGTGGGGGTCATTTTATTATTATTTGTACCTTCTCTTGACTGTGACTGTGTTTCTGATTTCCTTGCTGGATATGAACAAATGGAGGCCCTCCTATCGTACAGGTTACAAGACTGAAAAGATAAAAATATTTAACTGCTTGGGAAGGGAAAAGATAGCATGGGGCAGATTTGGTTTTATGCTAAACAAGGATGGAGGAGAGATGGGTTACGTCTTTTTGAAAATTGCACCAGTTAGAAATCTGTTTTTTTTTGTATATATATTTTTTTCGAGACAAACTTCGTAAATGGTCCATCTAGTTTTATAAAATCTGAAGTTTCGTTTCTAATTTTAAAAACCTCACGAACAGTCATGTGGTTTCAAAACTTTTAATCTTTAGTCTTTATGGTTCACTCCGTCAGTATTTGTCCGTTAAATAAATGGTATTTTCGTCATTTCACTATTCATGGACCATTTATGAAGTTTTCTCTTAACTAAAAATAAAATGAAATTTCATATGCAATGGGTCTCTCTCTCTCTCTCTCTCTATATCTCTCTCTCTCTCTCTCTCAATGTTTGACTGAAAAAGTCAATGTTTCTCCTCCCTTAAATCTCCTTCAACGACTCCTAATCTGAACCTAATAACCGTTCATTTGTGTCGTCGTCACCACCACCTACAATCCAATATCACCACCTCTGGTCCACCTCGGCAAAAGCCCTCTTCGACCACTATTTTGGGTCTATTGGGTACAAAATATTTGCAGGGGGGGAAAAGAGGCTATGATCGTTACCACTGGGGAAGGAAAAAAGAGGGATTGAACTTTTCGCCGGAGGTCCAACGGCGGAAATGGTTTCCAGCGAGAGGTAACTCCAAACCACCGTCAATGTAACACCATCAATCTCCCCTGCTATAAACATCACCATCCACTGGCAGTGCACTGCAGAACAACCCTGCACCACCACCACACCTACACACTCATCCTCAAATGCCATTTGCAGGCCTGGAAATCGAATTGAAATGGGTTGTTGTCTCTTTTTTTCTCCCCCTCTCTCCCTTCTATGAAATCCACCATCATAATTTATGCTTTTGATTCTGATTTTGTTCTTTACATGAACGATTGGATTTGATTCGTTCTCACATACCTTGATGAAGAATTTGTAGCAATGATTTTAATTTTGGATTCATTATGTGTAGCAGTCGAGCTGAACACACAACCTCCAACACACCCCTCTCTCTTTATAACCTTACACTATCTGAGAACACCAAATACACGACATCAAATTGTTAGTAGATCTGGAAATCGAACGTAAATAGATTTAGTTCGCGATTGACTTGGATTTAGTTTCCTATTGGCTTTGAAAGTTCAGTTTGGAAGAGGAAATAACAATCATTCAACTTCATGCTTTTCTTGGTAATAGGTACAAGTTGAATGATTCATAATGATGCATCATCGTCACTACTAAACCATTAGTGTAACCATCTAGGTGAAAAATCATTATCAATGTAGGGTTTGTTTCTAATTTCACATTTCAGTTCATCAGATTTTAGGTTAGTTCATCTTGAACCTCACCTGAGTTCTTTCTTTCCACCATCGCCATTGTGACAACCGTCAGAATTCGAGTCGATTCTAGATTTGACTAAACTTAGTTGCACGTATAGGCATGACACATATTAGACTTGGTGACTAGAAGCTAAGTTATAACCTACTAGAAACTCGGAAACAAGTAGAATTGAAGGATAGTGTACTTAGATTGCACATTGATATGTGAATTCTACTACTACTTAACTGTAGTGACTATCCACATTCGGGTCATTCCTTGAATTGAACATCATTTCATGAATCATATACACACATCATTCACTTGACCTATAAGTAGAAATTAGGTCAAAGTCTTATAGAAACTTAAGTCGAAGTTGAAGACTAGGGCTAGTATACTTGATTCCTCAATTTCGTTGGATCTCGGAATCACTACATAAAATGCCAATAAAGCGATAAAAAAAT